GGAATATCTGTAATTAGCAGTTTTCTGTATTTTGTGATTCATGTTTTATTTTTTTTTATTTCCTCCTTTTATTTACGATTTTGAGTTGGGACCTTGATCTTTCTCCCAACAACTTCTAACCTTGAAAAGTTTGAAAAAGTGACTTTCACTGACATTTTTTAAAATGCGAAAATTATATATTGTTTGGGATGATGTGTTAGAGTACAGTACAAAAACCTTGCAATAGACTGCCTGTACATTTTCTGTTATTTTACAGATGTATTTCTTTATATGTTATTTCTTATACATTTATATTATTTGAAACAACTAAAATGTCAATAAAAGTCACTTTGTTAAACTGTAGACAGTCAAAAGTCAACAGAGCAGAGATCAACATCCCATAATGCAATTCACAACTGTAAATAAACGGAAAACACTTGTGAATCACAAAATACGTAAACTGTTAATTAACAGATACTGTTTACAGCCTACCAGCAGTCAGTGTATGTCTGCTCTCAGCACTTTAGTTTATCCTTCAGTCTGGTCTTCAAAAACAAATATCCAGTTGACAATGCACTAGGTTCAGAACTGATGTGAGTCATAAACTTACACACATCTGTTAATTAACAGTTTTTGTATTTTGTGATTCATGGGTGGTTTCAGTTAATTAATGGTTATGAATCAAAATGAGCTTTATATAAAGACTTTTTGTGGTTTGCAGGAGCTCAGGGTACATGCATACTTATCAAGAGGACAGAAGCACATTTAAATAAGTGGAAAATTAAGTAAACAATAAAATAAATAAATTGATATACAGGCGGCACGGTGGCTCAGTGATTACCACTTACAGCTAGAATGCCGCTGGTTCGAGTCCCGACTGGGCCAGTTGGCATTTCTGTGTGGAGTTTGCTTGTTCTCCCTGTTGATGTGGGATATCTACGGGTGCTCCGGCTTCCCCCACAGTTCAAAGACATGCGTTATTAGTGAATTGGATGAACAAAAAAAAAAGGAGATGTATGGATGTTTAAAGGGTAACAATTTATTTTGATGGTTCATTTGAGTATTAGTAGACCGTCTGCTTAGTATCTGTTGATACTGCTGCCAAACAGACATTTAACTGACTATAAGAAACTTTGCAAGTACATGTCAACTTACAATAAATTTAACTCCGACCTAACAGTCTATGGTCTAATGAGAGTTAGTTGGCATGTAGATGCAATATAACTTAAATTCAACAAATGGACCATCAAAATAAAGTGTGACTCAAAAAACTGTATTTGTTGTTCCACAGAGCCACAAAAATAATGCTACTGTATATTGATTTGCATATGCTCAGTAGCCGCAGAAACCCTTCTAACACAACCTACCCACAGCAGAATTTCTTCCCACTTGGAGCTCTCCCAACCTCCTTGTGGCGTAAGTCCCTCCCACTTGGAGGTCTCTGAACTCCAGCAATATATATAGTTGACGGATATTGCTTGAGTCAAAATGTACTTTAGTATAAAACCCTGGGAATAACAAAACCATCAGTAACCATGAAGAACAGTACACCTCAATGTCAGCGCAAATCCCAACAACATACCTCACTGTAAACCTCATTTGCTCTTATTTCAGACTTTCTCCTTTCTTTATTTCATAGTGTTTTAGTTTGAGTATTATATATATGCAACATATGGAATATGCAAAGTCACAAAGCACAAACCACTCTAAAGGAAGATATTCTGTATATCATTAAGCACTATTTCTGAACACCCTCAAATCCCTGGAGTGCTGAGTTTTCTTTTACAGTATTTGAATATCCTGATTTTAAATATTTCCCACCCAAGGCTGCAAGGCTTGGTTGAGTTGCAGAATTAACATGCTTTTGCCCTGTTTCAAACTTTATTTCGAGATATAATTCTTGCAATTAAAAAACCATTAACTACAGTTTGACTTTTGCCTTAATAAACTCCTAATTTGCTGCTCATTATTAGTTATTAAGGTAGTAGTTGGGTTTAGGTATAAGGTAGGATTAGGAATGCAGAATAAGATCATGCAGAATTTATACTTCATTAGTACTTATAAATAGCCAATATTTAAATAATAGGCAGGTAATAGCCACTAGTTACTAGTGAGAATTGGTAAATAATTTTTTATCCACAGATCTACTTTAATAAATAGATACACATTATATATAACAGTATGCACCTTGTGTGAATTTGACAGTAATACAAACAAACGCAAGCAAGCAAGCAAGCAAACAAAGATAAACAAATAATAATAAAAAACAGTACAATGTATCACATGGCACATAAAGACCTTTTTTATGGAGTGTCATAAGCTGTCAAGGCACCGCCCTCTTTTGGAAAGGGGTGGAGAGCAGCTTCTCATTTGCATTTAAAGAAAGACCAATGGTTTATTTATTATTATTTTGCTACCACTTAAACTGAAAGATTGTTTACAATACCATACATGAAATGTGAGGTATTTTGTGCTGGAATTTCACTGACACATTCTGGGGACACCTGAAAGTTATATAGAGTTCTATTATCATGCAAAGAGGGCATCTTGGACCCCTTTAAGGACAACATACCTCAAGATAAAATTTACACACACCCATAGTACCTCAAAAAACAACTGCAGTGCCCCAGTTTTAGTCTGAATTTCTATTTCTTCCTTTTTTGTCTTTCTTTCATGCTTTCTCTTTTATCTGTCTCTCTTTTATCCTACACTGCTGTTAAAAATGGTCTAACATCTAAAGATCTAACAGCAGCATACTGTTTTTCATGTAAACAGTCAAAACAGTGCATTCTGGGCAATCATTTGCCCTTTATTTTTCAACATTGATCTGCCGCTTTTACGTAATACAATTTTTCTTCCAAGTTAAAACAGTTAACAGTTCAAACTCCTTCTGGACTGCTATAAAAACACCCAAATGTAAAACAATTTAACATTTGAAATGTTTTTAATATTGGAAACTGTTTTGAATCATTTAAAATACAAAATGTTACACTTTATACTGTAATTCAAGGTACTTTCCATTTCTTTGCGTTTTGTGTTTGTGCTTCATACTTTGTGTATAATTTCAAAAATACATATAGGATTTGATTTGTATCTGTCATGATCACCAGCGACCGAATCCTTGCAGATCACTGGAGAACTACACATCTTTCACTCAACTGGACTACAAATACCATCATGCACCTCACACACACACCAGTTCCTGATTCCCCCTTATTACACACAGACACACACACAGCTGGTAACTCATATTTATATTCACCTCTGACACACACGCAGACACACACACACACTTTGCTGAGTTTTTTTTTTTTGTAACACTACGAAGCATTTCCTTGTGTAGTGGAGGGCAAAATGTGGCTTTAAATACTGAAATAGTCGAAGCAAATGTGTTGAAGCTTCGAAATGTTTCAAAATCAGTCTCTACAGCGACAAAAACTGGCTTATATGTATTGCTCTAGAATAGCCCCAGTAAAGAAACAGTTAAGGAAATTGAGGAATTACACATGTTGTACAGTTGCATTGAATTTTCTAGTGATTTAGTGGAGTGGTGAAAATTCCAGATTAGCATGCAGGAATATTAGGTTTGAATCCAAGGTGATGCAGCTATAGATGTTAGTTTTAAATGATCTGTTCTTGTAAAGTGTTTTTAACACAAATTTGCCAGATCTCAAAACGCTTCTGAAATGACTGATGATTTGAATTGCTTTAGTTACATGATCCTGGTGTTTCAAAACACTCATGGCCTGGGTGTTTAGAATCAACTTAGTTAGTTTCACGTCAGCCATCCCCAGCCTTGTTTTGTCTTTCACAAGTCAGTGCAAAATATTTTACTAGTTATTTTGCAAGATAGTTGTATTCAGACAAAGTTTCTTTAAGTATTCTTTAGTCTTTGACTGAGATTAAAGTGTAATTTAAAGACTTCACTAGGTTATGTTAACTATATGAAAGTTGGAAGTCAAATATTAATTTAAATTAACGGGAGGGCAAAAAAAAAAAAAATGACATCAACTGTGTCTGTTAAAGTTTACAGCTGCAAAATGTGCCTTGATGTACTTGAATGTTAGAAATGTGTTATCCTACTACAATACATAGTTACTTGTCAAATAAACAACCATGGAAGATTATTGTGAGTTTAATTTATTAAATTAGCTTGTTTATGAAAACTTCCGAGTGATGCAGTGAAGTTGTTTGTAGTGTGCTCACTAAAAGTACAAAAAGCTTCTAAAAAAAATCAAAAATACTGCATTAATTAATTAATTAATTCATTCATTCATTCATTCATTCACTTTTACAGGATGTAAATGAATTACAGTGTAAATACTCTATTATAACAGTGACTTGCTGGTGTCTTTGACAAAACAAAAAATTACATAATTTGTTTTACAGTGTATCTTAGGTAGCTATCTCACCTTAATATTGAATTATTAAATCGGTCCTGTTGTCTTTCTCTTTTCTCTCTGTACTATTCACTTTTCCCAAGTTATTTCATTCAACGCTCCACATTTTCATTCTGAACTGATGGAGTTTCCTTCTCGTTTCCGGCTTTCTCATTTTACAATTTTACAATTAGAAAATATTCAGTGCTAATAGGAAATCTTCCACCCCTGTTCCTGTAGTGTGTAAGCAGTCCAGACACATTTCTCTATAGCCTCTTACAAGACTCTAATTAGCCTCATTTCTAACCCTCGCTTACAGCCGTTCTCCTCTTTTATTATTCCACAGCAGTATTTTCTCACTCACTGCCTCATCAATACTCTCACATATATTCAAACAAAATCTTCCACAGCTCTCACACACACACACCAGCAATTAGACTTTTTAATGTATCATTTCTGTCAGGGGATCCAGAAGTCCAGAATATTGATCTCTTAGGCTGTCAGGACAGAATGCCGTCCATGTCATGCTGAAGCCAAACAATGGATTGAAGATTTAAGCTTCCAAAGGACCTTAGCTAAGCCGAAATAACAGCTGACCTGCTTTTAATGTTTTTCTTTTCTCTCTCTCTCTTTTTCTCTCAGTTATACTGCAAGAGTGGTGGGCAATGGAGTTCTTGCGCAGAGACAGAATCCAGAAGTAAGAGTCAGAGGTTTCGACCCAGTGCTTATGGATGTCAAAAACAGACTCGAGCTCTTCAACATGGTAAGGAATATCATGGTTCAATTGTGGTATTACACATATCCGTCTCATCTTAAAATGCATACCTTAGCTCTAAGGGTCGAACATCAAAAGGTCAAGAATCTTGGTGTGATTCTGTAGTCAGATACTAAGCTCAGTAGTCCTGCCAAAGCAGTAACTAAATTAGCATATTATCGTCTTAAAAAAAACATTGCAAGAATTAGATGCTTTGTTTCCAGTGAGCAGGCTTTAGAGGGTTACTTTTAAAATGTGTACAGTTACGGTTACAAATTACTTGATTAAAAAGGGATTCAGTAACTTAATCCGAGCACCAAAATATAAAAGTACTAACACTTCATACCTTTGAATTCCTTAAAGTTTTATCTGTCACATCTTAAAAAAAGTGTACCTTGGCTTTCGGGGTCAAATGGCAAAAAATAAGGTCAAGACCATTGTGATTCTGGAGTCAGATCTTGGGTTCAGGAGTCCTGTCAAAGCAGTAAGTAAATCAGCATATTATTGTTTTAAAAGCAATTGCAAGAATTAGACGCTTTGTTTCCAGTGAGCAGGCTTAGGATTTTTTATTTTTTTTAAATGTATTCTGATTCAGTTACAAATTACTTCATTAAAAAAAAAAGTATTCAGTTGTTTAATCCGATCGCCAAAAAATAGAAGTCCTCTGATTACCATCTAACCAGAGCACCCGGAGGAAACCCATGCAAACACAGGGAGAACATGCGATCTCCACATAAAAATGGCAACTGACTCAGCCGGGACTCAAACCAGTGGCCTTCTTAGTGTGAGCACTACCGACTGTGCCACCCATGGGTATATATATATGTATATATATATATATATATATATATATATATATATATATATATATATATATATATATATATATATATATATATATGTATATATATGTATATATAAAATTTTTCCCTAAATGATGTTTAACAGAGCAAGAAAATTTTCACAGTACGTCTAATATTTTTTTTTCTTCTTAGTGTGAGCACTACCGACTGTGCCACCCATGTGTGTATATATAAATATATATATATATATATATATATATATAAAACATATATATTAAAAAAAAAAAAAAAAAAAAAATATATATATATATATATATATATATATATATATATATATATATATATATATATATATATATATATATATATATACATTTTTTCCCTAAATGATGTTTAACAGAGCAAGAAAATTTTCACAGTATGTCTGATATTTTTTTTTCTTCTAGAGAAAGTCTGACTTGTTTTATTTCGGCCAGAATAAAAGCAGTTATTAATTTTTTGAAAGCCATTTTAAGGTCAAAATAATTTTTTAAATAAAATAGTTTTTTCGATAGTCTACAGTACAAACCATCGTTATACAGTAACTTTCCTATATACCCTAACATGCCTAGTTAACCTAATTAACCTAGTTAAACCTTCAAATGTCACTTGATTCTTCATTTTATTTTTAACCGCCACTCCTGGGGCCTCATGTATCAACACTGCATACGCCCAAAAACTTTGTGTACGCTAGGTTTCACACTCACATTTGGATTTACTAACGATAAAATTAACGTGAGAATGTGCGTTGGTCCGCGCCAACTTTATGTCTGGCGTACATGCATTTCTTGTTTGTGTTTGTTTTATTTCCATTGTCGACTACTGCCGGCAGTTGTTAAATTGCTACACTACAAAGTATCGCACCAACACATGTGGAGAACATTGCTATTCATTTATAATTGATAAAATGGGTTAATTGACATATATATGTTTATATATATATATATATATATATATATATATATATTTTTTTTTTACCAATTATGTGATTTAGAACATATAAAAGCATTTGCAAATGTATACAACCCTTAGTCTATGGCAATAGAAGTGTCTCGCACTTGGTCAGTTGTAGAGCGAGCGATTGGGCAGCTGAAATGCCGGTGGCGCTGCCTTGATAAGAGCGGAGGGGTGCTGCTATACCGCCCTAACAAAGTGTTCCTCTAATACATCTGTGTCTCCCACAGACATGGATATTACTCCAGACAGTAAAATGTCACCCCCAATTGAGGCAACTCTCCTCAAAAGGTATTAATTCAGCATCCTCTGTTCCCCCGCCTGTTCGGTCCACACTTTGACGGTGCATCGCTGTTCTCTTCCTAACCTGCACCTTTACATCGGACCATTTCTTTTTTAATTCACTCACAGTGCGGTGTTCAGATGTTCATCTGCATTAATTGTGTCAACTAAACTCTCCCACTCTATTTTTTTTCTTTTGTTATTAAGTCCAGAGGACAAACTTGCAAATAACACAAAATAACTTTTTCTCCGGTCTACCTCCGATATGAGCACCTCCAATTCACATTCTGTGAAGTTTCTCTTCTTGCTTGCTTTTGCCATTACTTTTTCGTTTGGTTTTGCCAAAGTAAAGTCATTACCATATTCATACGAGGGAGGAGGCAGAAGGGGTTTCACGTTAATTCGGATGTACAAAGAGAATGTGTGGGATTCCGTGTGCAAAGTGTTTCATACATCTTATTTTAATACTGTGCGTACACAATGTTTAGTATGAATTCAATGCAAGTCTTGGTACATGAAGCCCCTGGTTCTCTATATATTTTGATGCAATTTTATTTTTGCCAAGCACTATTAATTCCTAAATTAATCAACGTTTTTGAAGAATTCCTTAAAATCAGCATCCACAACTTTTTAATGGTTTCTCAAAATGTTTGTTTTTTAGATTCATACAAACTTTTTTAGGATTATCCCATCAGTTAGTGTTGTAGTTCCAATGTAAGAAAATCTAAAGAAATATACTGATGTCTCTGAAACCTCCTCCTGTTGTTTTGTTCTCATCTGATAGACTGTTGTGTTAACAGCGTGGCACAGAAAACAAGGGCAGATGGTTCTTTTTCATTTGTGAATAAACAGCTCATCAAAGTGATCCTGATGTTTTGCAAAATGAACTAAGAGATGAAACATCTACCTAACAAACAGCACCCAGAGCAGACTGTGAGTTTTAAGATAGAGAGATGGAGTTTTTAGGTCTCACATGTAGAAGTAAGGCTGACTTTGATGGGAAGTAAAGGATTAAAGACTGGCAGAGGCTGCAGACTGAACATCCAGCAGAGTCATCTGACTGCCTTGTGAACCCGTGGTATCAGTAAATAAGCATGAGAATATCACGCACACACACACACACACACACACACACACACACACACACACACACACACACACACACACACACACACAGTATACTGTATACAAAACTGCTTCAACACAAACCATGCATGCTTTGTGAACATTTTTACTTTCATGTGGAATTCAATGAAAACAATGTAGTTTCTAAAAAGAAAAATAATAGTTGTTTAACTTTTAGATAATCATACTTCATTATTTCATGCTTGAACATTATATTTCTAGTTTGCATTAAATTAAAACTTTGATTTTATTATTTATATTAATAAAAGTAGTTTTTAGTTTTGTTTCAATCAAATAAAACAATATTATTATTTACATTATTTACAAATTTATATCAAAATATATTTACATAACAAATTAATAATTTATTATACTCAAGTTATTAAAATATAGTATAATAATAATAATAATAATAATAATAATAATAACAACAACAATAATAATAATAATGGTTGTTGTTGATAATAACAATTATTATTGTTATTGTGATTAATTCTATTAAATAATAAAAAATACTAATTGCTAATAAAAAGAATAATAATTATTATATAATTTTTAACAACAACAACAACAACAACAACAACAACAACAACAACAACAACAACAACAACAACAACAATAATAATAATAACAATAATAATCATAATAATAATCATAATAATAATGGTTGTTGTTGATAATAACAATTATTATTGTTATTGTGATTAATTCTATTAAATAATAAAAAATACTAATTGTTAATAAAAAGAATAATAATTATTATATATTTTTAAAACAACAACAACAACAACAACAACAACAAATAATAATAATAATAATAATAATAATAATAATAATAATAATAATAATAATAATAATAATAATAATTATTATTATTATTATTATTATTATTATTATTATTATTATTATTATTATAAATGATGCTGATGATGATGATGATAATTAATGTTGTTGTTGATGATGATAATGATAATAATAAGAATACTTTTTATTGTTACTGAATAAATAATAAAAAAATATTTAATAAAAACAATAATAATATTGTTGATGATGATGATGATAATAATATGTCGTTGTTGTTGATAATGATGATGAGGCTGATAATTATAATAATAATAATTATGATGCGGATGATGATAATAATAATAATTTATTATACACAGCATTTTTGTCAGTTTTTTAAAACTCAAAGAATTATAAGTAAGAAAATAAGTAAGAAAAAAGAAGTATAAGTAATAATAATAATAATTATTATAATAATAATAAATACATAGCAGGAAAGTTTTTTTTGTAAAATGCAGCTGCATGCATGAAAAGGAGATAAAGTCCATTTAACTTCTCTGGGTTGGACTGTTTTGTTCCATTATGGCTGATATTTGTAATAGCTGATAGCCATCAGAGCACTGCTATCCGGCTTGCTTTTAACCGAACAGAGAATAGAAATCATTTATGGAAAATTACTGATAACGGAAGATCATAAAAATGACTGCGTGTCCCTCGTTCTCACATTCACCTTTGTTTCACCCTGATAAAGTTCCGAATTTCCTTTTTCCCAGATGGTAAGAGAATTTCTCAACAGAAATATTTGATTTCCTTTTGCGATTATGCATGCTAAAAACCACCGGAGGAATCTGCTGTTACTGAGGAGGAGAGTGGAAATATTGATCCTGTGGACTTTGAAGGTCTGAATATGTGGTTCATGAGAAATGAAAAGGACAGAATGACCGAGAGGGAGAACAGAGCAGAGCATCCCTCTCTCCTTCTTTCTTTCTTTCTTTCTTTCTTTCTTTCTTTCTTTCTTTCTTT